AGAGTCCAGGGAAGGGGTAGGGACGGGTTTATTGCGCGCCAGATGCGGGGGGACAAACAAGATGATCATAATGGTCCCTTCTGACCTTAAAGTCTATGAGTCTATGATTTTTTTAAAAATTGAAAAATCAAAATGATGAGATCAGCCTTTAGAAATGTATGTTAAGTGACAACTGAATGAACATGCTCATCTTATTGGTCTTTAATGTTTATCTCATTTTCTCTATTTCAGTCTGTGGCATTTCCTCATAGCCTGACTAAAAATTGTTTGCCGTTTCTTTGTTCAGCCAGGAGGATATTTCCATTACCTTGCAGAAAAAGTTCTTTACACTCTAAACGCTGGTGGGGTTGAATGACTCAGGGGATTGGCAGTATTGTATTAAATCTTTTATCAATGGTACTAACTCAAATTTTGCCAGCTTGGTAGTGACCAAAAGCTATTGACATCCGAGTGGCCTGTGTCAAAGGAATTAGTGATCCTAAACCATTACATGGAAATGATTTTCTACATCACAGAACCCAACACCCTCTATTGGCACCAGTTGGGACCACTGGTCAACATCAGTACTTTTGGAAAATCAGGCCTCTTTAAAGTGTGCAGCCAAATACTAAAGTTCCCAAAATCACGAGTTACTTTTGAAACCTCTTAGCCCTTGTTGGCAATATCAGTGAAAGATCAAGGTTTCAATAGGCACAAAGCTGAATTCTTCTTTGGAGTGGAGCCCTTTAGGTCATGGTTAAGAAACTTTGTTAGGCCAGTATGGAGAAGTTTGCATGACAGCTGCCTATGCTGTACCTCTGGTATGAATAAATAAAAGAGTTCAGTTTCCAGGGCTGTCAATCCCTCACCTACAATAGAATTCACTAATATTAAGCTGCATATGTTGGCATCTGTTTTGGCATATCGATCTGTCATGCAGATGAGTGGACTATGAAAAAGAAAGACTCACTGAATCAATATAAAAGGTGTTGGATCCAACAAAGGTGATGGCATCATGGAGCTCGTAGTTGTGCACTCCATTTTGGTAATCCTGGTATGGGATCACCGTTAGAGCAAATGGGCCCACACTGTGTTTGCTCCAGTTGGTCAGCTTCACCTCCAATGCGATGGGGTCCCCGACTTTGCAGTCTACTACAACGTCACAGTCACAGACCTTTCCATCCACCAAGACATCTGCAATACAAGAAATGAATTTCACATTATTTAGGACTTTTGCTGTAGGAACAGCACTAAAATTGGTCTCCATGAGAATCCTGAAAGATGCACAGCAACAATTCACAGCGGTTTAGGCTATGGAGTAAAGACATATACTGTGTAGCTGCAATGAAACCTCAGAAGGCATTTTAGCAGGTATAATGGAATTATGGAAATTAAAATTTAGCTAGGATACTAGGGTTTACACCCCGTGTCTTGCAAAAAATGCCACGGAGTCCTCAATGACAACGAAGGAATCATCCAGTAAGAAACCCACACATTACTTTCATTGACCAATTGAACATTGAGGCCTATTACCTGTCAGCGGCTAATTGTCCGCCTTTATAAGAGAGAAAAAAGTTTGTTACATTTTTCCATACACAAAGAACAACAGATACTTTCAGTGTGAATAACTGCCAACCCCATTCTACTGGCTGGTGTGCTAAAGCTACAGACTTATATTCACCCTGCCTCCTCTGGGGATGTTAGCACAGCCAGTGGTGCTATTTGGAGCCATCCTTGAGCTTGGAGAGGCCAGCCCTATGCAGAGGTGGAGGAGGAGGCAGCTCCTTGCACCCTCATGCAGTGCAAATCATAATCTGGCCTAAGTAAAAACCATAATCTGACCTAAGTAAAGACCTGACCATATGTAAGCTGCATTCCACCTGTTCTTTATGCATAAGTATTGAGCAGAAAGAACCAGGTAGTCAGCTGGGGGAGTGGGCAGGGGAGCTATACACAATTCTCAAATACAAACTGTAACTGGCAATAGATCCTTTTCTGGATGCCCACATGTCCATGTGTCATAGCCAGAAATAAATCTCCCTGTTAATAAGGTGACCTTTTAAAGCAGGACAGTCTGTGTTGGGGTTTGCAATGTAATATATATATATATATATATCACATACACTAATATCCAGCAATAAGAAAAAATGGGATTTCAAAATGTTACAGTGGCAATAAAAGCTTGTCTACTTATTGCACTTTATTTCATTCTGAGATTCTTATTTTTACTTTACAGTTTTCATTTATTTCTTTTTTTCTCATGGAGATAGCAGTAAATATAATGCCTCTAAACTGGTTACTGTTGGGCAGGGCCGGCTCCAGGGCACCAGCTTAACAAGCAGGTGCTTGGGGCGGCCCAGGGAGAGGGGCAGCACCTATGGCAATTCGGGGGCAGCAGGTCCCTCACTCCCTCTAGGAGCAAAGGACCTGCCGCTGAACTGCCACCGCCGATCACGGCTTTTTTTTTTTTCCCCAATTGCCGCCGCCGATCGCGATCACAGCTTTTTTGGGGGGGGAGGGGCAGCAGAAATGCTGGAGCCGGCCCTGCTCCTGGACTAACTGCAATCCAAGTGAGTGTGCCCAGTACCACTGCCCATTTGCTTGTACAGCAGTGAAATGATTCATTGCCTATACAATGTGAAATTGCTAGCATAATTCCCCACTCTGAAAGGGTTTCCAGTTGTGCAATATCAGTGTACTTCACAGACTAAATTTATCTCTGATGTACTGTAGATACTAGAGCATTTCTATTTCACAACAGCCTCTTGTTCAGAGACAGGGAAAAGCTTTGAGCACATGTGAGAGAGACCATTCAGAGTGGATACATGTACTCAGGATATCTCACATTCATGGGGTTGTTCAGTTCCATTATTCCAACCTCCTCCCCTATTACAGCCATTGTGGGATTCACAGTGTTACACTTCTTCAAAGAAGGTTTGAGTTGTATTAATCAGAATGTGCCTTCATTTCTTACAGATATTAGTTCTTATTCTCCAGACATGCTCAGCTTGGAGAGAGCATATTTCTCACAACAGCGAGTTTTTGATTTTTGCATTGTGAAGCAGAATATGATCTATCCTTCTATGATGCCCATTGAACCTGGCAAACTGAACAAACCTTGAAGCACCAATGAAGAAAACAGCTAGCAAGAACGAAGAAACAAGTTCAGAAATTAACATTTTTTGACAGATCCATTCAGCAAATGACAGGCTGATCAGTCAAAGGAAGTGATCTCTAAACTTCCCTTTGACCACAGCTGCCATGTCACAGCAGCAAGAAGCAGGTACACTACACGAGAGGTACAACAGTCGGAGCAGACATGACGCTGACACAAGGAGACCAAGCTGCTGGTGTTATATATGTCACTTTTTAGAAACATTCCAGTGGTACGGTTGAAAATGAGGCCTATTTAAGCAAAACATTTCCATTTCCAATAGGATGTACAGTTTACATGATTAGAAGGAACACACTTCACAGTCAACCATAGCATTTTGAGGAGGACTTGCAAAACTATTTTTGTACCACCGCACCCAAACGTGACGGTCTTCTGCACAGCATGGTCACACTACTTTCTACAGTAGTTATTCTCAAACTTATTTGATCACACGCCCCCCTATTTTGTGTCTGTAGTAGGTTACACCACCAACAGCAGCACAGAAGTAATGGTGGCATGGTATGGCATTATCACTCTTCCTTCTCTGCTGCTGCTGGCAGCGGTGCTGCCTTTAGAGCTTGGCACCCGGCCAGCAGCCGCCACTCTTCGGCTGCCCAGCTCTGAAGGCAGAGCCATTCCATGCCACGTTTACTTCTATGCTGCAGTTGGCAGCGGTGCTGTCTTCAGAGCTGGGTCCCTGGCCTGTAGCTGCTGCTCTCCGGACGCCCAGCTCTGAATGTGCACAGAAAGTTTTTTCCCCCTAAAGTTTCTCACACACCTGCAGAATATATTCCACACTCCCCCTCCAGTTTGATAACCCCAGTTCTATAGGACTGTCTAAGGACTTCAGGGTAGGCTAGCAAGATGGTCGTTGGGGACATGTTCCAAACTTAACTGACTGATTTCTCACACAAAAATGTGTGTCTGTATGTATGTAAACTTAACGTTCTCCAGCCTACTGCTGCAGAAGCGGAGACCAACTGCTTCTTTCTCTCAGCCCAAGTGCTCTATTTCTTTTCATGGTTCTCTCATGGAGAAAGTGCTTTCATTTTTTAAAAATTACCCTTTACTTTGGTTGCCTCGTACATTGGGGTCTTGCAGCCGTGTGCTTTACTGGCCCCAAAGACTGCCTCTGGCTCACATGAATCTTCAGAAATATTCAAGGAGCTAAGTGCATGAGTCTTTATTTTAAAGCTACTCATCTATTTGCCATTAGGTTTTCAACTCCACGCACGGATGCAGGAATTATGGATGAAACTTTTGCTCACTGTCCCCATCATGTAATAACAGTTTAGACTGTTGCTTCACAACATCTTTAAATGAAAATATTAAATCCACAAGAAGGTGAGGAAATTATACCCACCTCCAACAAATCAATTTTCTTTGGTATTCCTGAAAATCAGTTCACTAAACATTGATTTAGAAAGAGACACAAAGAGAGAGGAGTTTTGTGTGTCTGCCTGTCTGTCAGTAGATGGACTAATTATTTCCTGTCCTCACAGCAGTAGGCTGTACATTTGTAGTTATAAAGCCAACTATCTCAATAACATGCCAAATGACAAAACACGTGCATCTGTGCTGTAGAATACTACAATAAGCAGTGTTTAGAAACAGCTATGTTTCAGCAGAGAAAGCCTCTTGATTTGACATGCAGTTTCACCCCCTTCCTGACACAGAAAGCACCTACTGTACCATATGGATCCACTTACATACTTTAATCCATGGACAGAGGAAAAGCCATGTGTATAGGGTCCATTTTCTGTGGATTCAGCTTACTAACACAGATGGCATATAAAAGCTGCGATTGCTCACACCACTGCTTTGCAAGTGAATCATTACTGGCTTCAATATATGCTTGCTCTGAGTCATATGAAACAGCAAATAGTGGAAGTATCTAAATCTTGCTAGAATTCAGATAAAAGATAATCAGTGTTTCAGAAAATTAGAAGACAAGAGTCTAATGTAAGCATTGATACAAAATATAATAGGTGCAGGGAAAAGTCAAGCTGTCAGGGAAGAAACATGAAGGTTTGGATGTCTGTTACTGGAGGAGAGTTTAATGCTTTATTCCTAGATATCAAAATAAAGCAATGGAATGAGTCCTTTTTCTTTTCTCTCCTTTACTTTTCATGTACCCCTTATATTTCATTTACTTGCACATGCCTGGTGCAGAAAATACCTTCACATGCTTTACCGCAATACATTGCAATGCTAGAAATTAAAGAAGAGAAAGCCCTAGAGGGCATATTGTCTGTCCTGCATCACCAAACTGATGGTTGGTGGATTGCTCTATATAAGTGCAATATATTTATTATTATTACATATGCTAGTGAAGACATATGTACTGAGAGAGGAAACATTGTCTAGTGGTTAGAACCCAGGATGGAAGGTATTGAATTAGCACAATATAAGAAATTAGGTGAATAGATAGAATTAGGAGCCCTGGCCCGCCTACTGATTCCCTGATTTAGGCAAGGCATTTAACCTCTGTGCGAGTTCATCCTTTTGTTACCTACCTTACACACTAGATTAATATATACCACAGGGAAGCTGGGAGATTTAACTATGAATAATAGTAAAAAAATATTTCACAATTCATATAACATCTTTCTTCCATTGTTTTAACGTGCTTTACAAAGGCAAACTAATGTTTCTAAAGTGCTTTAAGATTCTCAGATGAAAGATACTGTATCGGTAGAATCATCTGATGAAAACTTGACTTGTAAATAAATACCAATTACTATTAACTTGTCTCAAAATCAATATCTAAATATATTAATACAAAATAAGCAGAATACTTTACATACCCTTGTTATTTGCCCAATTCCAATACAGTTTCTGTGTGAGCTTTGGCAACTCAGAGCTATAATTCTAAACTTGTGCGCTGAAAGTTCTATGTACAGATACTGTCATGGTTAATTGGATTTGTGCACAGAATTCCCTATGCACCATTGTGAAAGTTTGGCTTGGAAAACAGCATACCAATGGGAGTCTGAATGTTTATCCTCAATGAAAATACATATTCTGGCAATGTTTACAC